GGGAGTGGTCCAGCCCATCTCTGCCACGGAATATACTCCGGTGCTTATTCTAGGGGAAATTGCAGCAGAACCCCTGGATAGCTGGGGAGGGCTTAGGCGACCTCGCCCCAGTTAGGCAAGAGTTGCGGGCTTCCTGAGTGGCTGCTAGCAGGCCGAGAACCGACTTAGGATGTGTTTCAGGAAATTTCCTGTCGCCCCTGGCGTAAGCAGCGTGGTCCTTTTGCTTTCGTGGGAGGCCAGAGCCGGCCTGGGCGGATACTTTGACCTCTAGGTCCACTATTCTGCCCCGGCTCCGGCCTTCAGTCCACTTAAAAGACCTAGAGGGTGAGATTTTTATCCTGGGCAAAGACAGTGCAGCCCAACTTACGGATCCGAGTCAGATGCATGCTGGAAGGGGAGAACCAACTCCTACACGTTAGCCTGACTTCCTAGTGCGCGCTGGCACGTGGGCGCTCCCCCGGCCCAAATAGATGAAAAGAAAACTAAAGGGCCATTGTGCCAGACAAGGTGATGCGCACATATAAACCCGGCACAGGGGGCGCTGCGACAGGAGGATCACTTGAGTTCGGGTCAACCCGGTATACATAGGACGTGGGGGTGGGAGAAGACAAAGAAGTAAATGGTATTTAGGCCCAGACTGTTATACAAAAGTGTATTTGAAGTCTACATAGTAAATCATTGGTGTTTTAAGATGGAGGTTTTTTGTAACATAGAGGGGTAAAAAGTAGATACTTTTCTTGATTAGGGTGTAAAGATCCTTTGTCTCACACAAGACAAAGCAACAGAAGAAGCTACTCAGTTGAAACAAAAAGATGCCTTTGCAGCTTCGGCCCTTGCCGTACGAGACGTGGAGAACCCAGTTAGATAAAGATAGTTTATGAACAATAATTTAGTTTCTCACCTCATCCAATTTATTGCTAAGAGTTTTTTTGGTAAAATTCTGTCTTGGAAGGCCTACTGGGGAAAAAGTAAGGGATTTTAAACCTCTTTAGTGTTGTGGCCATTTCTTAAAAATGAGCTAAAATGCCCTTTTTGAAAGAAATATGATTCAGAAGCCATCAGAGGATCTTAAATATGGCGGTGAGGATGGAACCCATTGCTGCCCACGTGCTAGGCAAGCTAGCAGACACGTGCCAGCAGACCAGAAAGTGTAGCGCTGATGATCACAGACGAAGGACTTACGTGGTGCTGCCATCCAAGCCCAATTTCTCAAACTAACTGAACATGCTTCTGTTGCCATGGGTATAATATAACATAGGCTGGGTGGTTTTTTGTTTTGTTTTGTTTTTTGCCTAATTTTACATGGTTTATCCTGTGACCTTCACAGCATCATCCTACTTCCTTTGCATTAGGCCTTGAGTGTAACCAGCCCATTGCTCTACCCAGTCGGAGAACTGATGGTTTTAGTTTGGGGTTTTTTATGGGTTTTGCCCTAGTGGTTACAAAACAGGTTTTTTCTTCTCCTTAGCACTACATGCTAAGAACACATTTGTTACCATCCCGCCCGCTCTGGGATTTGTATGGAAGCCAGGGTGTTGAGCATGCCACTTGAGCACTAAGCCATGACCTTAGCCTCCCACCTGCTTTTGTACAAAAGCGTAGTTTTTACTGATTTGAGATGCACCACAGTGCACTTGGGTTTGGGAACACATTTGTAGGAGTGGTTTTGTTGCACCAAGTGATCATCAGGCCTGATTTGGATGGCGCCTGGCTTGAATTTTATGGGATAGTTCTAGAGGCCCTGCAGCAGCCCACACCATCCTGCCCACTGCTTCACCGATAAGTCCAGAATTCCTCAGAAGTGATCTCTTGAAAGTGTTAAGGTTTGTGGAAAATGTGAATTGTTTTTTTTTTTCCCCTTCAGACAATGTCTATTCTCAAGGTACTTGCCCGAGAGATCTTTGACTCCCGTGGGAACCCCACTGTTGAAGTTGATCTCTACACCTCAAAAGGTTTGTACCCACATTTTCATGGTTTCTCCCACCTCGTTCCATTGAGAAGTGACACCAGGGTGGCCAGGGTTACCGAGGCACCATCCGATGCTCATCCCTCTTGTGTCAGCCTTCCCTCTTGAGATTACAGGCGTGTGCCTCCATGCCCAGCTCTGCATGGTATTCAAGACAGGATGTGGCTTGGGTGGATCATTGAGGCAGAGAGGTAAAGTGAGCTTAACCCCTTGTTCCTAAAAGGGGCCATCCTTTGGTTTCACAGCATGCTGTGATCAAAGAGGCAGATGGGAGCAATGGGGTAGTCCCCCCCCAAAAAAAAACAATGTTAGAAAAGAGATGAGAGGCAGCTATGGTACGTAAGCCCTGGTGGGTTTCTGAGACAGCCTAGATGCTCTTTTTATTTAGCCTACGGGCCTGGTAATAGAGGTGACAGAGCCTCCTCTGGGACAGCCTAAATGCTCTTTTTATTTAGCCTACGGGCCTGGTAATAGAGGTGACAGAGCCTCTAACATGTGGGAGGCCATAAGTTCAACTCATAGCATTGCAAAAAAAACAGGCTTTTACTATAAGCAGCTGGCTGCTTGTGGCAGCAAATACACTTGGGGCTTGCTGCAGGGTTGCTGGTTTGAGACCAGCCTGGGCTACACAACAAGAACCTATCTACTGTAAAGGAGCCCCGTGTGTGCTAGGTCATTTTGTATTCAGAGATGCAGGTAGTGGTTGTGACAAGAAAGGGGCCTGAGGAAGACATGGCTGGTACCGGTCCTGCAGAGCTCACCAGGACCTGCCAGTCAGAGCTGAGTCATTGTCTGAGTCACAAGCCTAGCCTAGCGACAGAGCCCAGCCCTTCCTGCCCATCCTCCCATCGCCTGGAAAAGAAGGAACCTCAAATACTCAGCAGCAGCCTGTATGTGTGCAGCCTAAGGCTTGGCTGCAGGGCTCTCAGCTGTATCCTAGCTATGTGTTTCATGGTGAATACCAAGGTTCCATCAGTGTCAAATACCAAGCACTGGCCCCATCAGCTTGAAAGGCATGGTGGCACACGCCCTTAATCCCAAGGGCAAGCAGATCTCTTGAGTTCAAGGCCAGCATGCTGTCTGTACACAGCAAGATGCAGGACAGACTCAAGTGGGAAAAGCCTATCTCAAAACAAAAAAAAATGACTTGAACAAAACCAACAAACAAGAAGCCAGGAGAGCATCTAACTACAGGTCTTTAAACTGATTAAAGTTAGTATTTTTTTGTATTAATAATTTTAATGTTTTCATCTGCCAGTTAAAAACTATTAACAATAATTAACAATTGATATTTGCCATAAGATTTTCTGTGTATGTAGGCCACACGGTTCTCAAACCCTGACTCCTCTTTAAGTGCTGTGGTGCAGTTGTGTGTCACAGTGGTTAGCTTAATATTTTGAGCATCTGGGGAAATGATCACATTAGAAAAGTGCCTGTTGCTCAACAGCACCCATGTTAGGCTCAGTGTCAAGAATAGCCTGGAGGGATTTCCAGCTGGTGAGGAAGCCACAGTGCTTCTGAGGCTGACCTGTTGGTCTGTTTCTGTTTGGTAGTTTGTTTGCTTTTTGAGACAAGTCTTGCTTTCATCCAACTTGGCTTCAAACACTTGGAGATCCTGCTGCCTCACCCTCCTGTGCTTTGGGATTGCAGGCGTATGCTGTATTTCTTAATTGCTATTTTCCGCCTCTATTCCAGGTCTCTTCCGAGCGGCTGTGCCCAGCGGTGCCTCCACTGGCATCTACGAGGCCCTAGAACTCCGAGACAATGATAAGACTCGCTACATGGGGAAGGGTAAGGCTAGAAATTCACATCCCACTTCCACACCAGCCCTTCTTGCCCTTTTCCGGGTTTCACTCCTGTCATTGGTGATACCGAAAGGTAGCTCACTGCTGTCCACATTCCCAACCTTGGAAACTGGGCATGCAAACACATGGAAACTTGTCTGTAATATGTAAATACCCCTTCCTCCCAGAAGTGTCTGGGCTTTGGAAACCACTCCCATCTTCAATGGGGAGGCCTGTAGACAGTTCCCTAGGCT